TCACAAGAGAGAGCTACATTTGGGTTATGCTGTTGGTGTTGCCCTGTTGGGCATGGACATTGACTCACGATTCTTCTGTATCATTCTCAATTGGACGGTTACTCGGTTCCATTGTACTATCTGCTTTGGCTTTGAATACTTGGACTTCAGTGTGATATTGCATTCTGGATTTCTGTGCTTCGTCCATACTCATGTTCCTTGCAATTTGGTATCGGAGCTGGTTTGATCGCCACTTACCTTCGGCATGCTGGCGATATACAGACTTGGTGCGTTGATGATGCTTCTTCACAGTTGGTACTTGTGTCGTCAGGCCATTGATAGGCGCACGCCCTGGGTAGAGAGGGGTGCGCCGGAAGGCTACAGACGGCATTAATAGCCGTGGTGACAGGCGGAATGTTTGATTGATGATGAGAGCATGCTGATGTGGCATTGGACTAAGGTGGCACTGCATTGCGTTGTGGGTGGTACCGAGGTCATGACCGGTCATCAAATGCAACATCAGCTCAATTGGTGAGAAATCTGTGGTTGGGGGCAGCAATCTCCAGGTATGTTGATCCCTTACCTTATCTACCTTCTCAATCTCTTCTTACCGTGAGGAAGTGAGTCCAACTTGAGAGTCCTCTCTTCTGGTGAGGTGTCGTGTGCGCGCTACCTTGAGAGACGACAATCTTCCCGGAAGCATCTGGAAGGAGGAAGGGCGGTGTCTCTGAAGGGCCCTGGTTGAAGCACTGGGTCACAGTCACCATGCCAACCCAATGGGAGTAGGTCACGCATGCGATGGCTGCTGTCCATTAAGGCACTTTGCTGCGCTGATAGAAGTTGCTCCGGGTGTGCCAGCCCATGACAGACGCTTACCACACCGTCTATAAATATTTCTGGTTGGGAGTTCATTGTGATTCTGGCTGTGATCGTCGTCCTAACTGCGACGTTAAAGAATTCCTGAAGAGATGGGGGAGCTCTATAAATACCTCCTGATCAGCCAGATCACATGGACAGGAAGGCTCGTCGCCGTACGAGGGTAAATAAGAGTGGTTGGGCTGGCTTGCTCGGTGACAACTTGGGCACAGGGGTGGGCCGATACACACACGAAGACACTGCTCGCTCAAAGATGTTGTTCGGTACATTGGATTGAGGGGAGGGTAGGTTCCAATTGGTGCTCAACTGTGTACACAACTATACCCATCAATCATACATCTGTTGCATTGTCTTTTTGTATCTTTGATTAGTTGGTTGACGGATTGCTGACCTCACAGACAGATTAGTGTAGAACTGTTGTATGCTACCATAGCCAGTACTAACTAATGCTGCTGTAAGTGAACCAATCAGGGTGCACCTAGACAATGTAGACAATCTGTGTGAATGTTGWAGACATGCCACTTGATTCGGTATAGTAGGATACTCGCCGGACACAACTATTGTTAGAAAATTAGGTGCCGGTCAGAAACATGCTGTGGTAGGATTCCACTAGGGGATTCTAGTGCAGAAACTATCTGCCTAACTAACGAGTGGATCAGATCCTGTTGATGATAGAGCTGACAATAGGAGACTTACACGTTCGGAAGCATTAAGGGTTCCGCACGTGTTCAGGACCCTGGACGAGGGAGAAGAAAGACGGCTTCGTGCCGAACGTAGAGCCCGTGCTCTAGCAGCAGGACTACAGGAAGCAAACAGAGTAGCAAGAGAGCGTGCAACAGCAGCCAGAGCAGCCGCAATGGCTAATGGTACCAGCTCTGCTGCGTCATCGTCTGCGTCCTCGTCAAGGACTAGTGGGACTCAGTTGGGAATGCCACTGAATTCGACGAGTTCCTCGGGCACTTCCGGTTCAACAGGGTCTAGACAGTCTTCTAGTCAAATGGCGGGCTCGCAGTTCAGCCCGTTGACCCCACGTGAGAGGGAGCTCAGAGAGATCCAGCAGGTCGAGAGGCTCCGCCAGCAGTTAGAGGAGGATCTGAAGAAAGCAACCGATAGAGAAAGAGAGATAAAAAGTAGAGCGGCCAGACTTGATACGTTAGAGGCTGACAAGGCTGCGTTAGAGGGATTGGACGAAACAGGTTTGTCTGAACCCCTGAAAGTGTTGAAGAACAACATGTTGTCACTGCATGCGCACGTAGACAGCAGGTTGGACTTCATGCAGAGCACTTTGGAGCAGATCCTGGATGCATTGACAAAGTCAAGATTCCGGCCACCAGCACAATCGCCATTGCCGTTATCGGCGATGTCAGGCCCCTTTCCAGTTCAAGCTGGTACCCAGCCTAGTGGTACGTCTGGAGCAGTCTCACAAACTGTTCCACCTTCTTCTTCGGGTCCAGCGATGGTTGCTACACCACCGCAACAACCTGTCTCTCAACAGGGACAGCAGCAAGGTCAATGGTACCCCAAGACCCCTATGAAACCGCCTCTTGCCTTCTCAAGCGAGAGGAAGGACGAGGAACTCAACACATGGTTGAGGACGGTCCCGGTTTGGGTGAAAGTCGAAAGGACCTTGCCAGAGGATGAAGTGGTAACCGCGGCATCTTACCTAGAGGGTAAGGCAGCCAAATGGTTAGATGGGGTAGTTGTAAAAGCCGGGTACGGGCCACACATGGCGGACTGGGCCAAGTCTTTGACTTTAGACCAGTTCATGGAGATGGTAGAAGCTCGATGGCATAACCAACAGGAGGCGCAAAGGGCCACTGATGCCATAAATAAACTAAACCAGCGCAAGTTCCGGTCAGTTAGAGAGCTTACGACTACCGTTGAGAGTCTGATCCTTGTCCCGGGCATCAACTACAGTGACCAGTTCCTGTTAACTACTTTCATTAGATGTCTTCCAGAGAACATCAGGAACTTACTAGCCAGTGAGGCACGCACCGAGTACCACTCATTTGAGACATTGTCTAGGAAGGCTTTAGATTTGGAGGCCACGCTAGGCAATGCTCAACCCACCTCAGGAAATGACTCAAAAAAGAAGAAGAGTCCTCAGGAGTGGAAGAAGAAGGGGGCGAAGTTGATGATGGTGGAGTCTGATGGGACTCAAACTGAAATCGATGAGCTCTCTGACCTGGTGGACTACACAGAGTTTGACGGCGAGGAGATAGCTGAGGGTAGCACCCTCGCCACGGTAGTAAAGACTAAGGCAGGTGGCCAAGGGAAGGGCCAACCTAGGAGTCAAGGAAAGGCCGCCTCCAATCAGACCAAACAGGCTGAGTGGGTTAAGGCAGGTCTTGATCAAGACGTGTGGCGTGACCGCCGAATGCGTGGCGCTTGTATCAACTGCGAAGAATACGGACACACGCAGTGGAAGTGTCAGAACGCTAAGGTTACGCAAAAGATTGCTCCAAAGATGGAGGCATCTTATTCCCAGGCTTCTAGCTCGTGAAACACGTAGGGCCAGTGGAAGTAGTAGCGGCTTCTACTCAAGATGAAGTGAGCAAGATACCCTCCTCACTTCATGACAAGGCCGAACCTAATGACTCCTTAGTCACCCCGCAGACGCATCTAGACCAAACTATGCTTTGTACATTAGATGTGTCTGAGGCCTTAGAAGACTTAGAAGGCGAGTGGTCAAACAAGGACCCCCGCGAATCTTGGGTGGCGCTAAAGAAGGGTCCTAGAGGGGAACATTTCGTAGTGGAGGTGGACGTAGGAGGCCGAAAATGTGGTGCCTTCATAGACAACGGATCCACGCGGAATTACATAAGTCGCGATTGTTTGGAAAGGCTGCACCTACAGGACCGGGTACGGCACCTTAGTAGACCATTAACATCTACTTTGGCCAACAAAAAGCGCATGATTGTCACAGACTACATCAAGGACGTAGTTTGTACCTTCTCCTATGGAGGAGGTGAGCTTAACCATAAGATTTCGTTCTTGGTTAGCGACGACTTGCCATTCGATATACTGTTAGGCATGTACTACCTCGAAGTTGCTAAGCCCCAGTTCGACTGGGATAAGAAGGTGCTCAAACACAAGTTGGCCGAACTGTCAGATTGACCAAGTTCAAGGCCAGCAGTATTATAGAGACCTATGGTTGTTTGTGCGCATCCGCGTTCTACAACTATTACAAGCAAAACGAAGAGGAGGGTATGTACCTGGTTTATGTCTCTGAGAAGGGGGAGGCCGTTAAAAAAAAAACAGAGATAGAACGCGTCGTTGCTAAATTCCCTGATCTGTTCGAGGAGCCCACAAGAGTTGTTGAAAGGGAAGTCGTCCACGCTATAGAAATCATTCCAGAGAGTAAGACCCCAAAGGGAAGGATCTATAGAATGGCCCCTGCCGAGTTGGATGAACTTCGGCGACAGCTTAAGGAGCTGACAGAGAAGGGTTGGATTCGGCATAGTACTTCCCCCTACGGATCACCCGTTCTATTCGTACCAAAGAAGGGGGGTACTTTGAGGATGTGCATTGACTATAGAGGCCTCAATGCCATCACTGTGAAAAACGCAGAGACTCTACCTCGCATAGACGACCTATTGGATAGGGTGCAGAGATGCAAGTACTATACTAAGATAGACTTGAAATCCGGATATCATCAGATCGCAATAAGACCTGAGGACCAACACAAGACACCTTTTCAGACTAGATATGGTCTGTATGAGTTTGTAGTGATGCGTTTTGGTCTTTGCAATGCGCCGGGTACATTCCAGCACGCTATGAATCGGATCTTCCATGACCATTTAGATAAGTTTGTCGTGGTCTACCTAGACGACATTCTGATCTTTAGTAAGTCTGCCGAGGAGCATGCAAAGCATGTTGAGACAGTTCTCTCACTCCTTCGACACCACAAGTATAAGGTCAACATAGAGAAGTGTGAATTCGATCGCACTAAGATACTATACTTGGGTCATGAAGTATCCGCGGAGGGAATTAGGCCGGAAGATGCGAAGGTGGCTAGTATTCGAGACTGGCCACGACCTCAGACAGTCACTGAGGTCAGATCTTTCTTAGGAATGTGCGGCTACTATAGGAACTTCGTAAATAACTATTCTACAGTCGCCTCTCCTTTGACAGATCTAACTCGACTTGACACGCTGTGGGACTGGAGTGATGAGTGCGAAGGTGCTTTCAAGCGATTGAAGCATGCACTCATGAATCATGAAGTTCTCATGGTTCCCGATCCGCAGAAGCCGTTCATAATAACCACTGACGCAAGCCAATACGGCATTGGCGCAGTGCTGGCTCAGCAGGATGGGAAAAAGTTGAGACTGATTGAGTACATGAGTAAGAAGATGCCATCGAAGAAGTTGGCTAAGTCCACCTACGAGAGGGAACTCTATGCTCTCTACAAGGCACTTGTCCATTGGAGACACTTCGTTTTGGGAAGGTTCTTCTATCTGAGGACTGATCATCAGACCCTCAAATGGATCAAGACTCAACCGGCTCTTTCTGATGCACTCAAGCGATGGATTGAGGTCATAGACCAATATGACTTCAAGCTTGAGTACCTGAAAGGAGAGTACAACAAGGTTGCAGACGCTATATCCCGTACAACTAGGTGCACTAGTTTCTGACTTTGGCATATCTGAAGAAGTAACTCAATCATTGCTGGGAGCCTATCAGGAAGACCCTGTCACGATGGACATCATCCGCAAACTTCAGGCAAAAGACAAGGCCACAAAAAGTGAGTTTGTGATGGTGGATGGGCTAATCTATCTTGATAAGGCCGGAGTAAAGAGATTGGTAGTTCCATCTAGTGAACAGTTGCGTAGTTTATTTTTAGGCGAATGTCATGACGCAACTGGGCACTTTGGCTACAAGAAGACGAGTGCTAACTTAGAACAGCGATTTTGGTGGCCCAGAATGTTAGATGACGCAAAGAAGTATGCTGAGACCTGTCAGGTCTGTCAGCGGGACAAGCCGCGAACTCAAGCACCGCTTGGGTTATTGAAGCCTTTACCTAGTCCTGATGGTCCAGGATTGAGTGTTTCCATGGATTTCATGGACACTCTTGTGACCAGCAAGAGTGGTAAGAGGCACATTTTCGTCATCATTGACCGATTCACCAAGTACGCTAGACTAATACCAATGCCAGAGACAGCCAGGACAGAATACGTCATCAAGTTGTTCAAGGACAACTCGGTAAGGGACTTTGGTTTACCAAAGACCATCATTAGTGACCGAGACGTCCGATTCACAAGTGAGCTGTGGAAGAAGACTGCGGAACAGATGGGCAGTCAACTTCAAATGACTTCAAGGAATCATCCCGAAGCCAACGGACAGGCCGAACAAATGAATAGAGTTGTACAGCACTTGCTGAGGCATTACATCAAGCCCAGCCAGGATGATTGGGATGAGCAGTTACCTCTCATCGCCAGCCTGTACAACAATGCTATACATAGTAGTACCGGCGTTAGTCCTAACCAGCTGCACWTAGGATGGAAGCCTGGATCAGCACTAGACTTCCTCCTACCTGAAAACCGACCTGTTGCAACTCCAGGCACACTTGAATACGGTCTGCAATATGATTAGTTGCTGCAAGAGGCTGTTGAACATATGAAGAAGGCTCAGCAAGCCATGATTGCTTCTGAGAATCAACATCGCAGACAGTCCACATTTCAGGTAGGGGAACGTGTCTGGGTCAAGGCTAGTGAGTTAGGACAGGAGTTCGGAATATCTCGGAAACTAATGCCGCAGTACTTTGGTCCCTGGGAAATCTTGGATGTAGTGGGAGATGAGTTGGATGGTCCCACATATGTCATTCGTGTCCATGGACACCTACGCACTCACCCAGTCTTTCATGCCTCAAAGCTTGCACCTTTCGCTGAGACTGATCAATTCCCTTCCAGGAGATCGATGATGCCCCCAACCATGGATGGACAAGTCGACATCGACGATATTGTGGATCACAGGGATATGCCTGTTCCGAAGCCACTGGGTCGAGGAAGACCTCCTAAACCCAAGAGGGAGTACCGGATCAGATTCAGGCATCATACGGATCCGAAAGAAGATCGGTGGTTTACCCGGGAGGAACTGATGGAAACAGCTCCTCAGGTGGTGGCATATTATGAACGGAAGCTAAAAGGGAAGGCACATGCGAAGTAAGCATCTCAGCGTACTTTCGAAGCTAAGGGGGATGAAATGTGAGGATTGAGCCCTCAAGTAGGGGCCTTGCCATGATGTACATGTTCTGGGCTAAGGCCCCAGCAAGCCTCGTGCCCGCCCTAAGTGAAGGCGGGCCAACAAATCAACAAGAGCCCTCTGTGCCAACATTTCACGAAGTGGGGTTCATACAGTTGCAGCACGCCAGTTGGTTGGTGTGCACCGAGTCNGGGCCAACAAATCAACAAGAGCCCTCTGTGCCAACATTTCACGAAGTGGGGTTCATACAGTTGCAGCACGCCAGTTGGTTGGTGTGCACCGAGTCTCGGATTTCAGCAAATGCTGAAATGCCCAGGGCCTCTGAGTTAGTTAGGCCCTGGGCACCTGAACGTGAGGCTGACAATGCATGCTGGGTAGAGAGGCCGAAAATGCCAAAGGGAAATCGGCCCACTATCTGAATCTGGCCACAGGCCTTGATGAAAGAGGTGCAACTGCACTGCCCGGGGCCCAACTGTATCGAGTTGGCTTCAGCCTCTGGGTCTCGGTCACAAGATGAAGGGAGGCCGCACACTCGCTGCATTGGCATATAGGCAAGCAGGGCGAGGCAGCAGTGATCTTGGCCAATTCTGGTACTTGCGGGCACGCTGCGCGGATGCCTGTGTGCTGCGCTGTGCAAAGCAGTGATGCGCTAAGAGCAAGCAGGCCAGCGCTAGGCGGTAGGGCGCTGCCTGCATGCAAGGCACTGGTGGCCATAGCCTGGGCCACATGAGGGTGCAGAAGAGGTGAAGGGCGAAGGTGGTCTTCGGAGGTGAAGGGCGCTGTGTGGGTACAAGGGAGAGTGTGGGGAATAGGACACGTACCTGGTGATGGTGGAATACGGCTTTGGTGTTGACATCATCACTCGCTGGTAGTCAAGTTGTCTGGTTGCTGTTCATTGCTGTAGTTGTAGGATAGGCTGTAGAGTAGATAGGGTGCCTGGCGCCATTCACAAGAGAGAGCTACATTTGGGTTATG